ATACAGTAACCCAAAGCCTTTCTATGGCCGGCTCTTCATGCTGCCAGGAGCGGCACGAGAGGAGCTCCAAACGCACTGAGATTTGGTGAGATGCTGAATGTTGGCTCATTATAGGGCTGAGGAATGGAGCAGAGGATTGGAAATAAAGCTGGGAATGGGGAATGTTGGCTCTGGATGCAGTTGGGATGGGGTCGGATTCCTCCTCAACGTGTGGGTTTAACCCCTTAACCCCTCCAAGTTGGCTTTGCTCCAGCACCTCTGTGAGCTCCACTGGTTTGGGTTTATTCAGGGAGATTTGGTGGGGCTCCTTCGGTAACACAGAATTGTGGCACAATTAGCAAAAGCTGCCAGAATGCCCCAAAAATGGGGTCAGAAGTGAACTCCCCACCCCTACAGCATCACCCACAGCTCCTGTGCCCAACACAACGTGAAGGAAATGCAGATGGGGAACTGCCCTGTGTTGCATTCTCTGGTTTCATCATTTGCAAAGGGACCGGGTGGAAAAATCTCAGACTGCACACAGACCAGCAAATATCCCACTGAAACGCTGCGAGCAGACAGGAGGCGTTTGTCATCTGCCACCCCAGACCCAAAGCAGAATCACGCAGGCCCATCTTTTGCACCAAACCCAAATTCCCCACCCCATTCCCAGCGCATTTTGCTCAGTTGTGCACAACCCCAAACTTGTCTTCTGCAAACACTGGGGCAAGACATTTGCTTTCTGGGAGGATGAGCAACAGCAGCACTGCAAAAGCGGCTGCTTTTCCCAAAAATCCCCTTTTTCCTCCCAAATTGAGCTCCCACACGGCACCGCCACGGTGCTCAGGGTCACCAGCCCAGGAATGGCACTGTGCAGTCCCCTCCTGCCCCCGGGAAGGGGCAGTATTTATAGCCCCACTCTCATCCTCGCCGCCCCGATTAATTAAATTAGTACAAAGGAGGGTTTGTTGAGCGCTCCCGGCCTCGGCCAAGGCGGGCTGCAAACAGGAAACAAAGGGTTTAATTCTGTCTGGTTTCATGAAGGGTGCTGTGTGTCCCGGCCCAGTGCTGGAGCGGGGCCAAACTGCTGCCCCTCTGGCTCACACCACAGCTGGGGGGGCAAAATGCACCACCGGGGGCAACATGGCGGGCTCTGCAAAGGGCTGTTTGCACTGGGAGCTGTGCAAAGGGGGGCTCTGCAACGAGGGCGCTGGAAAAAGGGAGCTGCAAATGGGGGCTCTGCAAAAAACACTGATGCAAATGAGGCTTTGCTTGCAAAAGGGGCGTTTCGAATTGAGCTTTAAAATGGGGAGCTTTGCAAAGCGGGTGTTTGTAATGGGGGCTTTACAAAGAGGGTGATGGAGAAGTGGCTTTGCAGAGGGAGCAGTGGAAAGGAGGTCTTTGCAAAAGGAGCTTCGCAATGGGGTTTGCAAAGTTGGGTGCTATAAAGAGGGCTTTGCAAAGGGGGTATTGGAAAAGGTACGCTGGAGTGATAGCTTTGCAAAGGGAATGTTTGCAATGGGGGCTTCATAAAGAAAGTTTGCAAGGGTGGCTTTGCTTAAGAGTTTGCAAAGTTGGTTGCTGTAAAGGGGGCTTTGCAAGGGGACATGCTGTAAGAGGTGTTTGTAAAAAGAACATTGTGAAAGGGGACTCTGAAAAGGGAGCATGACAAAGAGGGCTCTGCAAACCTCACCTGGGAGACTGCTCACCTCTGCCAACCCCCTGCTCAGTGGTGTTGATGCAAAGGCTGGGGTGCTGGTTTGAGTGCTTCCTTTGATAAAAGGATTGAGCTCAAGAAGGAAAAAGAGGAAAATTCAACAAGCATGCTTGCAACTTGTAAAGGAGGAGCAGCTTGTTGCATGGCTGGTTTGGAAGTTGCAAGAGGAAGGCTTGCAGGGATGGAAAACCACTGCTTTGTTTTGCAAACTTTGTTTTTGCAGCAAAATTCAATGCAGGAGTGGGGACAGAGGCCCTACTGCTGGGTGTGCTGAGCCCTCCCCAGCTCGCTGCACGCGTGCTGCAAGCAGCAAGATGGAGATGATGCTCTGAGCCCATGCAATTAATTCCAAGAGTAGAATGCACGATGCATGCAGAGATAACAGCCCGGGCCTCAGGGATGCTCCCAGCCCCAAAGGCAGATCCCAGCAGGAAGGGCTGCAGGGAATGACACGATCCCACCTTGAGATAACCTTGGCCACCCCCCCCCAGGTGCTCAGCACTGAAGCAGCCCGCTTATGTTGCAGTGGGATTTGCAGTATCTGTCCTCCAGCTCTACTCTTTGGGATGCTTAAAAGTGGATAAATGGAGAACCAAAAACTGTGTGTTGGAGTGTTCTTGCACAAGGAGGATGACGAGAGTGAAGGACATAAATTGGGAAAGGTTTAGGATGGATTTAGGGAAGGCAGCCTAATGGGAGCCATTGATGGGGCTGAGGCAGAATGGGACATAAAGAATGGCAGCACCTCTGGAACAGTGATGGGGTAAAGTCACCCCAAACTGGGAGAGCATCTTTGAGGTCTAAAATCCCGAGGGACCCCCGAGGCAACGCCGCTGAGATCCCATCGGCGGGCTGAGCTCCAGCAGCTGATAGGGGTTTTAATTACCAGCTCATTAGGAGAAGTGCAGATAGCAACCCACCTGTGTAATGCCCTCCGAAGGGATGGCGACTCACATGCACCAAAGGTCCCGGTTCTGGATTTTCTGCTCCCAAATCAATCTCCCACTCTTTCCCTAACAGACAAGGATCACAACTTCTGAGCAAATGCTTTCTGACCTTTCTGAGGGCTTTGTCAAAATGGGATCTCCTTGAGACTGAGATGTTTTAGCTTGTTGGATGGAGCTGACGGAGTGGCCAATTTCACACTGCTGCAACAGGGCTGCAGGATGCCAGGGAGGCAAACACTAAAACCCCACAATGTGCCAGAAAGTCAATTTTGTGGATGGGCGAGGAAAAAATGTAAAGCTTGAAGCGAGAAAAATAAGAATTCCCCACCCGTGGGCAGTGCTGGATCACAGATGGGCACAAAGCAGGGCGCTGCGGACGAAGGGCTCCGGCTCACAGCACTGCAGTGGGAATTGGATGGGATGAAGCAGTGCTGCCCTAATGCGGCCCTGCGAGCTGGGAGCGCTGCTTCCAACCACATTAAGGGCTCTGCAAACCTATAAAGCGCCTTCCAGCAAAGGGAGGCATCCAAACCCACTGGCCCAACAGTACAGGACAACGTGCAGCAATAGTAACAACACTTCCAATTCTGGGGAGGATTTCAGGTCAGCTTCGTGAGCCTGGGCGATGCGATTTTAATGCCCCAAATCCTGGTTTTGAAAGCAAAATAAAACACACTGCCTGCAACGCTTCCAACCCCGCCTGGGATTTTCGGATATCCACATCGTGTCCATTAACCCCCGTCCTGCCCCGCTGCCATTCCTCACTGCGCTCCAACAGCTTTATGGAGGGTACAAAGGCAGACATTGTGGCCGAGGGACGCAGAACAGAGCCGGCGCGCGCCGAAAAAATGTGGTTTTGGTTATAACTATTTTCATAGTTTTTGCAACACCTTATTAAAGTTGAAAGCTACACACAGAACGGAGCTGGTGGCACTTTCCTGAGGCGCTCCAATCATATTGCACTGCAGCTGCCCTCCCGAATTTGGGAAGGGTTGGGATGCAGGTTGGGATATGGGTTGGGATGCAGGCTGGGATGGGATTTGGGACGTGGGGTTACAGCTTCCTGGCGGGATGCAGGGATTTGGGTTGAGGGGATCTGCAGCCCTTCCCCTGCAGTCCCACTGCCTGCTGCTGCACGATGCCTACCTGGTGCTGCAGGATGCTAACAGGCAGGGCTGTAGCTGGGATCAATTCTCAGTGTGACCCCAGAATTCCCACTTGGGCCGATTTCGCTCCCACACTCACACAAGGGTCGTGAGCGTCGGCCCGGCGCTGCTGCCAGCATCTGCATCTCGTTAGCAGCGCCGCATCGCTCCAGCAGTGATGACCAAAAAGGCATCTTTGCCCTTTTTTTTTTTAATTGAAAAAAAATCCCTGCTGCGCCAGACACAGCCCTGCACCTCGCCGCACTCACAGAGCGAACCAACACCAATTTAAGTTTATCAGCACACACTGGAGCCCAACACGAGGTTATTGGCAGAGGAGGGGAGGGGGGAGCGCGGAGCCAAGGCCGAATTCCCGTCATATTGACACAGCTGCGGGGCCGTCCCGCTCCAGCTGTGCTTTGGGGCCGTCCCGTGGGATTCTGCCCGGGATTTTCCACCTGGAGCATCTCCCAGCACCGCATCCCTGCGAGGATTAAACCCGCTTCCCCCCAGCGCTGCCGTTGAGGCAGAATCTTCACATTCTGGGCTAACGATGCCACAAAATATTTTTTTCTAATTAGCGGCCGTTTGTTCTTAACAGGATTCCAATCGCAATTCTCATTAGGGGAAAAACTGCTCTGCGCTCAGCCCTCTCTGTGAGACGTTCCCTACAACAGCTGCCAGTGGGGACATGGGATGGCTGCAAGTCAACCCCAACCCCAGAGCTTAACCTCAAAGCACCACCAAAAAAGCAGGAATTGGACTCAAAAAGTGCCATCAGAGAGCAGAAAGCAGCAGCTCTCCGACAAAATCTATGATACCAAAATGTTTTCTCCCCCAGAGAGCACCAACCTTTTGGGTTTTCTGCACAGCAGAACTTTGGAAAACTATGGGAAAATGCATGTTGTTTGTGCTTAGTACTTCCACAAGGGAAGAAATAGCAAAACCGCAGCACAGAGATCCAGGAGAGCTCTCAGCCCCAAAAACCCAAACTTGGGCATTTTCAATCAGTTTCCCACTGCAGCGCCACTTTGAGCCCCATATATTTTTACACCGTGCTTTTATGCACCGCCTCCAACCTCCCCATCCACCCCGGGATGGGGAATCCCACCCCAACCTCTGTCAGAAAGTGCTTTCAGCCACAGCGCCGCAGGACTACAGGAAAATCCTGGGGGAAGCCGACCCCAGGGCGCCGCGCGGCGCTCCGCTCACCTACACCTGCGCTTCGGCCGCGGCTGGGGGACGGACGCTGAATCCCTGCAGATCTCCTGGGGTTGGGACGGGAGGTGCGGGCAGGCGGCGGGCAGGGAATGCTCAGCCATCAGAAAGTTCCCTGGGAAAGCAAAAAAACTGCAAAGTGAGGAGGTCTGGTCAGAGCTGGAGCTTCTAAGCCAGCAATACTGCAACAGGAATGCGGATATTAATGCTGAAACGTGGACTGAAGTGTGACCGAAAATTAAAATGTGAATTAAAATGTGAATTAAAATGTGGTTTGGGTGCAACAGCAGAGAAACGCAGGGTCCATCCCTCGCTGCTGCCTGCACTGCTGCTCCCCCCACCCATAATTAGATGTGGTCAATTAACTTTTGCCCCTAATAACAGGGGAAACCTCATCAGGAGGAGTTTGGTAAATAGAGGGTGGAAGGAAAATGGGGGGAATCCCGATGCCTCACTCCACCCACCCCAAAGGGCTGGAATGTGCCCCTCCTATGGGCATTACTTAGGTTTTGTGCATCAATCAGCTCAAAAACATTCCCAAAATGGGGATTTTTGTGTTTTCTTTAAAAAGGGGCTGAGAAATAAAACCCAAAACTTGGGAAAGCACATCAGGGAAAGTTTCAATGAAGCAAGGAAGATAAATGATAAAAACCCCAAAAGGGGCTGGGAGCCCCAGTCTACATCCCCTGACATCTGTTACGGGGCCAATATCCAAACAAAGAGCAGAGACACAAACCTTGGGGAACGGAGTGGGCGTGCAGGGGGGCAAAAAGATGCGAAAACGCTGTGTTTCACCCTTCCAGCCCTGGGCTGGTGGTTGGCACTGAGCAGGGTGTATGCTTTCGGGGTGGTGCTCCCCAGCCCTATATGTTACTCTGAGGGCACACTCCAAGTGCACTGCCACGGGATGGAGGGATTGCAACGGGTTCGGGGGATGGCAAACAGCCGGGGTGTGTTGCAAAGAGCTGAGGGGTTGCAGTGGACCAGGGGGAATTCCAATGGGTCGAGGTGCCTGCATGCAGCTGGAGTGCATTTGAATGGGACGGGGTGGGGGGGTTGCAAGCAGCAAGGATGCACTGCAGAGGACTGGGGGGCTGCAGGCAGCTGAGTGCGTGGCAAGAGACAGCGGTCTGCAACGGGTCAGAGGAACTGTAAGTGACTGGGGGGCATTGCAATGGGCCAGTACTGAAACGGCTTTGGGGGACTGCAGGTTGCTGGGATGCACTGCAGTGAGCAGGGAGGAGATTGCAAGAAACTGGGGGGCTGCACGCAGCTGGGTGTAACGCAGTGGGCCGCTGGGTATCGCAAGCAGCCGGGGTGCGCTGCAACGGGCCGAGGGGGCTGCGGGCTGCCAGGATGCACTGCAAAGAACCGGGGGACTGCAACGGGTCAGGGCAACTGCATGCAGCTGGAGCGCATCGCAATGGGATGGGGCGCAACGCAGCCCCCCTTGGGGGGTTGCAACGGGCCGGGGGAAGATCGCAGCGGGCTGCGGGGACCGCGAGCAGCCGGGGTGCATTGCACGAGGCTGGGGGGCTGCAACGGGCCGGGCTGGGGCACACAAACCGCAGGAGGGATTACGAGGCCCCCCAGGGTTGCGACCGCCGGGAGGAACCGTGCCGAGCCGGAGCGCACCGCGGCTCCCCGGGTAACGGCCACACCGCCGCGAGCACCGCACGCGGCCGGAGAGCACCGCGCGGCCGCATAGCGCTGCAATGACCGGGGAAGGGGGAAGGGAAAGGGAGGGAGGAGGGGGGGGGGGGGGGGTCACATTCCGGTCCCCCGCCGCTATGCACCGCCGCCGGGAGCCGCGCACCGGGAGAGGCGGAGAGGAACGGCGCCGCGAGCGCCGCAGCGGAACGCCAAGTTACTTCCCGCACCGGAGCGCCGACGGGAGGAGGGCGCGGAGGAGCCGCCCGCCGCCGCTCGCCGCACGTGCCCCGGCGCCCGGGGCCGCTTTGTCCGCTCGGCTCCGCCCGCCCCCGCGCGGCGGCCCCGCCGCTGAGTGACAGCGCCTACCTGCCGCCAATCTTCATCACACCGGCACCGGCCTGACAGCGCGCCGCCGCTGCCGCCCGCCCGGCCCCGCCGCGCAGAGCCCCGCCCACCGCCGCGCGCAGCCCCGCCCACCGCCGCGCGCAGCCCCGCCTACCGCCGCGCGCAGCCCCGCCCACGGTCCCGGAGCGGCTCGCGCCGCGCCACGCGCCCTTGGTGCCGCGCTCACCGCGCTGCGTCGCCGGCCGGGTCGCGTCGGGCCGCTGGTGCGGGGCGGTGCGGGGCGGTGCTCGGTGCGGATCGCAGTCGTGGCTGCGCTGGGCGTGCTGAGGACGGCGGGAGTCGCTGGAAGCAGTGCGGAAACCTGGAACAATGGGCGCTGGGGGCAGTGGGAGCGATGGGATCGAGCGCGGACGTTGGCGGCGATGGGCGCTGGTTGGACGGCCGCCTTCCAGCCGCTCCCTTTTTGTTTCCGCGCTCCTGGAAATAAACTTCTGAAATTTGGCTTCTTGCTAAAAAAAATGCAGCCGGCGCCCCCAGCACCTCTTGGCTGAGGCACGTGGGCGAGGTGTTGCCTGTTCCCTTTGCTGAACAGCACAAAAAGATCAGAAGTCGTGCAGGCTATGCGCCTGCCTTTCCTTCTTCGCAAAAAAACAAAAGGGGAGAAATGCACTGAAATTTCTGTTTTTCTCCATATATTTCCTTATATTTTGACTTGGGGCAGTGACTTTTGGGGATTTCGTGTTGGTTTGGATTTGGAGCACAAATCGGGGCTGGACGCTCATCCCGCATCTCTGCTATTGCATGGGCAGCACCCAGCAGAGCAGCCATAAAGCTGTGCTCAGATCCACGCAGGGCTGGGGGGAAATGGTGGGGTGTGGGGCTGGACGGGATGGGCTGGATGCAAACGTAAAGCACCCATCCCACATCTGAGGGCAGCACTGGCTCTCACTCCACTCTTTTCTCCCCCTCGCAAATTTCCATCAGCTTGGTACGAAACGCATCCAGATTTGATATCAGGTACAGCCACTTTGATATCAAATACACCTCCTCCATAGGGGATGCTGCAAAGGGAATCCAACCCCCCCAATCCTTGCTCAAAACTCCCCGTCCCACATCAGGAAATGGAAACCTTCCTAAAATTAAACCCTTTTGGCAAAAATAGGGACTTTGCACCACGCACCCACACCAAGGCTGTGTTTTGTGCACTTGAAGTTGTAAATTAGAGCAAACTAATTAGCACTTATTCAAGAGCACACCGAGTTCCTTCTGTGAAGTGGCAAGAGTACTCAGTGCAACTTTGCTAAAATATTAAACATTTGGCAAGAGCAGCGACACAGATAACTTGTAATATTTACATTTTTACATAACTGGCTGCAGGAGACACGAAATTACACCAGGCCTGGTGCTTCGCTCTCTGTCGTTTGACCACTCTACCATAAATAATTCAGTTCTCCTTCCAAGATTGCACTGGAGCTGGTGTTGGATTTCCTGACGCACGCCATGATGGGAGATGCTGAAATCCCCTGAAATATGTATAAGGGAGGAGAGGGTAAATTATTAAGCAGTAGATGTTAAAACAGTGAGAGGTGGATGATGAGCCCGGGTGAGGTGCGGTGCTGGGCAGAGGCCACGGCTCAGCCCCAAACGGCCGACCCCAAACCCACCCAGGAGGCTCCAAGGAGCCCAATGCACCACGCTGACTGCTGGCTGCTCCCGGCCCCCTGCAGGCCCTGCAGCTCTGGGTGCTGCGTTGGTGCCGGATATTTGGGATGTCAGTTAGGGCTCGCATGCTTTCCCACGCCTTGCCCAAATCCCACTGAGTTTTGAGAGTCATCCATCACTGTCATCCAACGCAACCTCAGCATCACAGGAACACGGGCAGAACTGATTAAGGCATGAAGCTGAAACGAAGGGACCCTCCAGCTTTTACCTCTTTTTCAACTGTGCTTCATTCTGCTATTCTGATTTCCCTCCATTTGCGGTACACCAGCAGACAACCACTGCTCAGAGAACCACTGCTCAACGATGTTATCTTTATCCCAGCACACGACTTTCCTGGGAACGAGAGCAAACCCAAAACGTTCGTGGCAGCAGCGCAGCAGTGCTGTTTGCTGCTGGAAAACAAACAAGGCACGGTGCGTTCCGCACATAACAGCCCCTACCAGGCAAGTGCAGGGGGGTACAGCGAAGGCTTTATCAATAACCCATAGGCACCAGGAGGAGGGATGGCATCCATCGGCCGGCCAGGGGTTAATGACACCTTGCTGAGCTGGGAAAGCGCGCTGGGGTCCTTTTGGATGGAAGTGCTGGGTAAATGGCAGGTGAGATGGCTTTTATTAGAAAATCCCCACTGCCAACTTGCTGCTTTTAAATGTTTAATTTCCAGCCGTAATAAAGTCTTGCTGCTCCTTCGGGGTCTCCCAGCCGCAGTTCCCATCCACGCTCTGTGCTGCTGCAGCCCGGTGGATTTGGGCTCAACCTGCAGTGTTTTGGGCTCGGTCCATGCTGGCGGCTCACCCAGCCCACGGGGACACAGGAGGTGCAGCTCTGGTCACAACTCCTTAAAGATGCAAATTGAGAATCAGCCATCATAGCAAGAGACGTGTGCTAATTCTCATCTGGGTATGCAGATTTTGGTGCCGATTTTTGCTAGGCTTATTTGTTTTATTTAGCAATAAATTTAATACAGGCTCCCTGAAGCAAAGAGACAGATGGACTATAAACTTTGAATTTTGAGTAGCTTTACATCCCGATGCTGGAGTCATTTTTTTGATCTCTCCTGAAATTATACCCATGAAAGTTTGCAAAGATTCAGTTCTGCTTTTAACAGCCCCCGCTGTGACTGGGGCTTTGCACTGCAATTACAGGAGGCCATCTGATGAGCCAACTTCTGATTTTCTGCCCAAGTTCCCCAAAAGCATCCCATCTACCACCCAAACGCCTCATAATGCGTCTGCTGGAGTCAGCCAGAGACTCACAGATGGACCTGGGAAAACTGAAGTGTTTCCTCCAGATCCCAGCCCAAACCACAGGGCTGACATAAAAGGATGTGCTTGGAGAACATGAGAACATGGGGATGCCATCATGGGGTTTTGGAAGGGCAGAAAGGACTTGCTTCCTTTCTCTTTCTAACTGCTTTTCTTTCCTTTTTTTTTCCCCCCCATCAATCAGTAATAAAAATCAGGTTGGAGAGGAGCAGGAATGCCCAGGGATGTCCCCAAGAGGTGTGACCCCAACCCGGGGCTGCCCATGCGTGATGGGACAAAGCTGTGAGCCGTCAGCTCAGACGTCCCCAGTGTGCTGATACAAAGCCAAAGGCTCTGAAAACCCCACCGTTTAATTTCTGAAGACCACAGAGCGCCTGGCTGTTGGCTGACAAGGCAGGGGAACGCAGGGCGTTGCCATCAAACCCAGTGACACCGCTCAGCCCTTCCAGTGAGCCAAATTGCACTTGAATGACAATGGATGAACATATTACAGCCACATTAAAATCTAATGAGTGGCCCGTGATTAACGCCATTACGAGGAATACCAAAAGATCTAATGATGATGAGCCACTTAAAGTTAAGTGTTGGGAGTTCCATCGAATGGCTCTGCGGTATCACACGTGTCTGGAAAAGGTTCTGGAGCAAGGATGGAAGCAGTGACCGCATTCCTATTCTTATTCAATGGGAAAAGGCAACGCGGACACCTCGCGGTGTGCTTTAATGTCGTGTCTGCAGAAGCCCGTCCTGGTCTGGGAGGCTCCCCAAACCCTCAGTGTCCCTGGGTTAAAAAATGTCAGTGGGCTACTATAGAAACAGAGCACCAGGGACTGATAATCAAATCAATGATAACTGATAAAAGAACAATGAATAAACAAAACAATAACAGCTAGCAAAAAGCTCAGTTACAATCACACGGTGTCCTGCAGATGGAGGCCGGGCTTTGCACAGCCACTGCCCAGTAGTGAATCGCTGCCCCACTCCAGGCTTTCTTTTCCCCCCTTCACCTTTGGATGAGATCTAACTGGAAAAAAGATCCCAGAAAGCAGTACGAGCTCAGCTTCAGACTGCGTGCTGATCGTGGGGGAAATTTCACCCAACGGTGAGAACCGCTTCTGTCCCCCAAGCCCAGCACGTCTGGGTGCTTTGAGGCGCATTTTCTCTTGACAAGATCAAGTTTTTTATTTAAAAAGTGACTTCATATCCCATTTTATTATTTCTGAGCGTTGCAGGATTTGTTCTATTTGAAGTCTTACATCCTCATTTCCTGTCACCGCTATTAAAATTGATTTCCGCCATGAGCAGGAGAAAGATAATACGAAATGGGTTCCTGTGAGAGAGCCGTATCCCCACCGGAGCCATTATGAACTCTCCTATATTATTTTAACTTTCTTTCATTAGTGATTCTCTTTGGAAAAGGGCAACTCATCCCCCGGCCGGTCTGTGCGTGACGCTGGGGAGATGCTGGGCAGGGATCGAACAGCCCTCATCACAGCACGGGCATTTGTGGCTGTCGGCAGAGCCCGCAGCGCCGTGTGCCCGTCACCCTGCGCCGTCCCAGCTGCGCCCAGTGCCGCCCACAGCCCACCTTCCCCATCTGTGCCACGTCCGACCCACAGCAGCAGCAGTGCGATGGAAAAGCCTTTTCCAGACGTGGTGAAAAACCACAGGATGCTGTCGCTCGCAATGCCCCAAATATCACAGATACGCCAAATGCATCCCTAAAACACAAAGAGCATCTTCCCAACCTTGCTCCCTGCTCCCTCTGTGCTTGCAGCAAGCTTAGCCCCTCCAAAAGCAAAGCCACGCCCCAGAGATGTCGCCCCAAAATGATGCCCCAAAAGGACCCTGGCACCCGCTCCCATCCAGCATCATCCCCAAAGGACTTATGCACCCGTACCAGAGAGCAATTTAACGCCATCCCCAGCTTAAGCTCCATATCTACTGGGCGTGAAATTAGTTCCAGCAAGCCACAAATTTGCTGCTAATAAAAATATTTAGCAATTCAGCCGTCTTTAAATCAGGAGTAGGATAGACCTGCATCAGCGCCTGCTCCTAATATTTGATAAGCCAGCCCACAGTCAGTGTCACACTGCAGGCTTTACAGTGGTGCAAGGGGCTCTGGATCAGCTCCTCTGCTCTGCCTGCTCTGCTGTGCTGAGGGAAACACTCGATGGCTTTGTCCGACCTCTCGCAGCTCCCTGCTGCTGCCTCACCCCATTTTCATCTTTGGAGTCAGAGAGCCCACTGCACTGGGGATGGAGCGAGATGGGGATTTCCAGCAGGCACCGCCATGAAATCCATGTTCTGGGGCAGAAAGTAGCTCCAAAGCACGCTGGTGCAGCCGGGGGAGGCTTTCTTGTTTTCCTTGTTTCATAGCTATTCCGTTTTGCCTCGGGTTGGCACCCCAGTGCAGTGCAGGACACAGCACGGTGCCGCCCATCACAGCTGTGCACTATCGCCCCAAGAGAGACCCCTCATCCCAACCCTGCCCTGTACCTCACACAATTAATTTCCAAGCGAGCTCTGATCCAACCCGCCCTGCCCTGCGGCCTCTGGAGAAAGGTGACTCTGCGTCCTGCTGGGCCGGCGCTTCATCAGCCTCAGTGCTGGGAAATCGCATCTCTGCAAGGCTCCGTTCGTCTCCAGCCCCAGCTGCCCAGCGGATCACCTCTCCATCCCCAAAAACCCACCAAAACCACCTCCCCCAGTCTGCAGGTGGGCGATTTGGTCACAAATTAATAGTAATAAAAGCATTCATATAACAACTCAACAGTCATTATTAACAATTCGTTACCGATGACAGTAATCACAGTGAGGACGTTTCGTTGCTTTTGTCTCCAGGCTTCGACGGACCAGCAGCGCCCGCCTGGGCCCCTCACAGCCCTGCAGCACGGCCCGCACTGAGCGCGGCAGCGACCAGCCGTGCTCCCTGCCAGCACCGCCGCTCGCGCAGCCCGCGCGTGCCGCCCCAACCCGTCCCCGTGCAGAACGCCCACGAAGTTGCACTCGTGGAGATCCTCCATTTTCGCTGCTTCCCCATCTTTTCCAATTCACAATTTGCTTTTTCTCCTCTTCGATTCTTTTTCCGTTTTGCCTTTTATTTTATTTGGTTGCGGGGGCTCACGGGAGGAGCAGCAGAAATAAAACGCGGGTCAAGCAGCGCTCGGTGAAGCACCGCCTATAGCACCGCATACGGGCTTCCACCCAGCCGAGCACGGGGCTCCTCCCGAGGAACTCTCGGGCGCTGACACGAAGCCACCCGCGGACGCGCACTGCGGTGGGCCGGTGAGCGTCACGGGGCGCGGCGGGCGCTGCTCCCCCGGCACCGAACCCGGACTCGGCACCGCCCGGACCCGCACGGCGAGCGGGAAGGCCTCGAGCCGCCCCTTCCTTCAGCCAATGGGAAGCGCGGAGCGCGCGGCGGGCGGCGCCGATCGGGCGGAAGCGGCGCGGTTGCCAGGCAGAAGGCGCGGACGCATGGCGGGAACGGCGCTGGGCGCGGGGCCGGGCGCGCTGCTGCTGGCGGGGCTGTGGGCGCTGGCGCTGCTGCTCTGCCTGCTGCTCGCTCGCGCCTCGGGGGCCGCGCGGTAAGGGGGGCGGCGCGCGGCGGGGCCGCGGGCGGTCGCGCGGAGGTGGCGCGGTGCCGCTGAGGCCTCGCGCCGCTCCGCTCGCAGGCTGGCCGCGCTGCTCGTGCCGCTGTGCGCCGCGCTGCTGAGCGCCGCGCTGCTGCTGTACCCGCGGGAGGACGGCGGTGCGGGGCCGCCCGCGGGCCCCCAGGTGAGCTCCCCCCCCTCCGCCCTCGAGCGGTTCTTAGCGATTTTCCCCTCCCGTTCCTCCGCCCTTCGCTCTCCAGGCTCCCCCGCGCTCTGCTTCAAGGTGCGTTTCGTTCCGGATTGATGTAAACCAGTTGTTGCTCGTGGTGCCGATCCGTGCCACAAATCCTTATGGTTTCTTCTTTCTGCCACGGGTGAAACCCGCGCACATAAAGGCAGGGCACCGCTGTTCCCGTCGGCCGGCCCTGATGGCCGGCTTGTATTCTTGGTCCCCCGGTCGGGCAGGACTTCCCCCGTCCATACATAATGCATGACCTGGGCTCTTTGCATGAAGCCCTGCTAATTGGCTAATTAAAAAGTGAAACGCGCTGAAAGAGCCACCGCGGCAGCCACAGGAGACCCTCACTGCTGCATCCTGGGGCTGTGCGCCAGTGCCTTGAGCTCAATGGAGCCGGGGCACGCAGCCCTGGGGCAGCCCCAGAACCGAGGGGCTGATGCTGGAAGCAGCCTTCTTGCCTTTTTGTGACCAGGATGATGTAGTGGAGCCCCAGAAGCTTCCTGGTTCTCCCTTTTCTCTCCCAGCCGCAAGGGGCGCAGGCTGTAACGGTGTGCTCTGCCCGCAGATCGTGGACACCTTCCTGGTGGGCCGCCTGGTGCTGCTGGCCTTCATGGCCCTGCTGCTGCTGGGCTGCGTGCTGCTGCTGGGGATGCACCTCCTGGAGCCGATCCACGCCAAGGCGCTGCGCTGCTGGAGGTGAGGCTGTGCCACGGAGCCGTTCTGCAGGGATTTCGGTGGATCCCCTTCTGCCCGTCAGCGGAAATGGGACGAGTGGAGATGGAGCACTGACTGGTTGGTGGCTCAGCGATCCGGGGGCCTCTTCCAGCCGATTCTGTTATCCCTCTGAGCCCACCTGTCTCAGGCTCAGCCTGAGGCCTCGGTTGGTTTGAGTTAATACTTTATCTCCTTTTTCTGTCCTTTTTTTATTGTTCAAGGGAACGGAGGGAGGGTGGTTTCTTCACTTTGTTTTATTTCAGCAGCACGGAGGGAAGGTCCCCAAGAAGTGGATCCCATTTTCGTGGCAATAAACCGGGTGACCAAGTTGGGGCGTTGATTTTTTACTGAATCAATATTCACAAATTGTTGGGTTTTTTAAATTCTTTTTTAACATTAATAAAACTTTTGGAGGAAGCCCTGGCCCAGTCTTTATCTATTTTCTAGGAATAGGAGTTCTGCAGCACTTTGGTGGTACTGAAAGCTGGCCTTTCTGTGCTCTTTGTGAGGCTCCTCCTTTCCAGGTGTGGGGGGTTGGGATGCTCCCTGTGCTCTGCTCCCAGTTATGCAACACCAGCGTTTGCTCTCTGGGAGATTCTGAACTTGAGTCTGAAACAGAATTTGTATTTGATTCTTCATCTTAATAGCAGTGACAGCAGTGAGCAGTTCCCAAAGCCTCACTGCTGGTGCCGCATCTCACAAATAGGGAAGCTGTGGCAATGCAGCTGAAGTGCTAAAAAAAAGCCCTAAAAGCAGAAGTGTGAGGCTTCTCCCTGGAAATACACCCAGAATGTTTGCTTTGTGCTCCCCTTAGTGCCCCTGGGAGGCACTCGGGGGGACCATTAAGACAGACCCCATCCTCGCCCTGTGCCCCTCTGGGGGGTGCTCCGATGGCCGTGGGTGCTCTGCAGTGTCATTCATGCGGGGTGTAGCACTGCAGCTCTGCTCCCTCCACACAGGGCCTTTCCAGACAGTTCCTGTTTATTTTTGGGGAAGGAAGGAATCACTGTGAGCCAGAGCTGCTTTCCAGGCTTTTGCTGCTGTCTTCCCCCCCGAACCAAAAATGATCGTCGTAGTGGTCTTCTCCATCCCGTACAATTCTATGATCCTCCATTGCTGGTCAGATGCTGGGATTCAGGGAGATGTCATCACCCACTATTTTCCTGCTGCCAGCTCTCCTCCTGCAGGTGATCCACATCCCATCCGGGAGGATCGTGCTAAATCCCAGCAAGAGAACCCCCACATCAGGAGTGCTGTGAGCGGCAGCAGCGGGCTGAAAGCTGCTCATGGGCTGCTGGGACGACAGCCCTCCCTGCACCAAGCTCTGCCCGCTCATTAGGAAGGAGCGGGGCTGCTCGGCTGCTGGGATTCTGGTGCCCAGCGCAGGAGAATCTCCTGCTCCTGATTTAAGGTCTATGAGTGACGGCAATTCCTCACGCCGCGTGCCGCGCTCTGCTGGCGTTTAATTACTCTCCCTGGCACAGAACCGGCCTCTGATTTCCACCTTGACTTTGCTGACTTCAGCTTCCCGCTGTTGAGGCCCGCTTTGCCTTTGGCTGCTAATTAAAAAGCCCTTCAGCGCCCGCCGGCTGCTCCTTGCGCGGGTAATTACAGCCTGTGCCCGAACCACCTCCTCACCCCTGCAGAGCCAGCACTGCTCCAAAGGCAGCTCGGCCCTTCCTGGCACGGCTCAGAGAGCAGCACTGCAGGTCGCGGATGGATGAGCGCACAGGGGCGGCCGCTAGAGCTCACAGCTTTGTGTGCCCTAAAATCCCAGTTTTCCCAAGCAGAGCAGCATGAGCTTTTTAGTGCCCGGGTGCTGTGATCGACCCAGGGATGCAGCCCTCCCATTGGTCTCTGAAGTCCCGGCGCGATGTCTGATTCCTGGCACTGGGCTCCGGTGCTCCCAGCACTGCAGCCAGGGCTGCTCACATTTTCCAAGCCCAGCTGCAGCAGAACGCAGCTTCAGTTCATCCTGGAAAAAACTGTGAGCTGAGGCAACAAAGGGCAGAAGGTGGAAAAAAAAAAAAAAAGAAGGAAGAAATGAAAAAAGCCTGTGGTTTTGCAACAAGCCCCTGTGTGTGTGTCACATCTGTGGGATTTTTGCTTTAGGTGTGTATTTCAGCCTTCCCCATCTTCCCATTGCAATTAAGGCTAAGCTCAGTTTCACATGTACCCAGAGCTGGGCTCAGTGATCCTTCAACTCAGGATATTCTGTGATTCTGACTGTTCTCAGCCCATCTTGGTGATATTGTGCTGGCAAACTGGGAATTTGCTTCTTTCTGGTACCCCATCACTTCTCTCTTTCCTCCCCAGTTTGCTGGGTGCACAGCAGTGGCCATTGCTTTCCAAATCCATCCATCGCTGCGCAGGGACACGCTGCACGCTGCTCCACAGGGCCTTGTTTTTCTTCTTTTCTCCCCTCTTTTCCTCTCCAGCGACAAAATCAGCGCATAATAAAACACAGGGCCCAGATGTGTTCTCTTTGGGCCAGGATCCACGCGCCCCAATCCACGTCACCCCTCATACTGAGCCCCCCCAAACACACAGCTGGCTGCACAGCTGGCATCACACTAATTAGGTGGCCCTCCTGTTCCACTCCTCTAATTAGGAGACGGCTAACGAAGGCCGTCAGCCTCCTGCACTGAAACGAGAGCACGCGTGCTGATGCGCCCATCGGGACCTGTCTCCTGTCCTGATGCTGAGCGGTACAGCGGGGCAGAGCGGGGTGAACGGAGCGGCGAGGAGCAGCAGCGTCTGCACTGCAGCTCACGGGGAAGGGATGGCGCTGCTGCCGCTGCAGTGATGGTCTGACGTCCCACAGCGCTGCGTGCAGGGCAGCAGGGGAGCTCGCAGCACCCGGACAGACGTGGGCAGCGCAGGCTTTGCACCTTTTTATTAATAAAACAGCCGATGGCGCAGAACTGGCCCCAACACTGTCCGCTGCTCCTGGCCGCCTCCTCCTCCCACCGAGACAAAATGGTGGCGGGTCAGGCCCGGGGCTGGCGCGGTGGCACGGTGACATGGCGGCACGGCCGCGTGCCTTCACCCTTCGGCAGCGCGGGACGGCTGGCGAGGGCGCGTCAGAACCGCTTGAACCTGCGGGGACAGAGCGAGGGCTGAGCCGCGGGAACGGAGGGAGGGAAAAGCAGCTCCCGGGCTCCGGCCGCAGGGAGAGGAAAGTGCGAGGGGAAGATCCGCCACCGCCGCACCTCCAGGCAGAGCGGGAGCGGCCCGAAGCCCCGCAGCGTTCCCCAGAGGCGCCGCCCGCAGCGCGGTGCAGACAGCACAGAAGCGGCAGTGGGGCCGCAGCTCCGGCCGCACTTACCGCCAGGAGGACCGACGCTGCTCCTCACCTGCGGGCACAAGATGGAGGAGCTCGTGTTGGGCTGCATAGCACGGCTCACCGTGGCGTTTGGCCGGTGCTGATTTGGAGATGATTTAGGTGCACCCTCCCCACAGCAATTTGGCCGTGAGCTGATTAGCAGCATCATCTACTCATTAGCACAGGTGGGCAGCCTCTAAATTTGGCTGTGTGGAGTTAATCAGTACTGTGCGTCCCAAGGCATTGGAGATGGGGTTGTGCTGAGTGCCTGCCTGCAGCACGCCCTCTCGCTGGGGTTGGGTCCTTTGGCTTGGCCATGGAATTATTTGCAATCATAGAATCACAGAATGGTTTGCGTTGGAAGGGACCTTTAAAGGCCGTCTGGTCCAACTCCCCAGCGAGCAGGGACACCTCCAGCTGGAGTGTGGCTGCCAGTGACACGCCAAGCACCGGGGCTGATCAGTGTTTGCATTCAGTGCTGGTGCTGAAGCGGGTGCAGCTGGAGGTACTCACACAGAGCTACTTCCCATCCAGCACTGACTCTGTGAGCTGCACACTAGAGCTACAAGACACAAGGATGGTGCTCAGCACTGCGATCCCTCGGCCATGTCCCACAAACATCCCCGTGCCACGCTGGACATACCCTCTCTTCCTCGCCATGCAGCCACAGCATGCGCGCACCTCTTTGACCACCACACGAGCAAGGAGCTGCAAGAGGAAAGGTGGGAGCTTTGTCATTGCTGGGAGATGCGTTTTGGAGGTTTTCCTGGGGAATGCTGTTTGTGGGGCTGAACCTTCAGGCTGTGGAACCTCCATGGAGAGACCTACCAGGCAAGCCAAGACGTCAGCTGCTATCAGCATGTAGAATACATTATTCCAGCCGGTGGGGGAGATAAGCCCTGCCAGGAGAGGCCCCAGAGCAGCACCTGCAGGGAACACAAGAGGTGTTAGGATATGGGAATAGGGGAGCAAGGCATCCCAGCCCCACAGCACCAGAACATCCAGCAGCCCCGGCCGTACAGACCTACGGATCCCGTGCCGTCGATGATGGCTGTGACGGTGGAGAGAGCTCTTGCGTTTCCTTTGAGGGACTCATGGGTTCCCTGTGGGAAGAGAGGAGAGAGGAGGAAGAACAGCCTAAGCACCACACATGCTGGCAATTTCCATGTGTCAGATGGGAAGACTGAGTGTATGCAGGGATGTGGCATTCTTGTGACTCGTGAGCAAATTCTCCCACTAGGTACAGGCTTAGGGGAGATGCAAGGGAACAGAAAGAGGAGTCACACAGCTGGGAACTGAGGAAGCAGTAGGAAGAAAGCACAGTGTGACCATCCTGCTTTTCTGGACAGGAGTGGGAACACAGCTAAAAATGCACACAGCCTCGTGACTCTCACCAAATCTGCTGACACTGCCGTGGTGATGAGTGCATAGGGGCCGTTCACCAGCGCACCGCAGACGATCAGCATTGCTGCAAGGAAAAAGACGGCCTGGGGTCAGCCCTGAGCCAGGATGTGGTGGAGAGGCAGAAGCTGAATGCTCCCAGGAGCTGCGGGATGTGGGAGCATCATCCCAGCGAGTCCTGCTCTGTGTGCATTGCATTCAACAGCTCATGTTTTCCCCAGCCAAGCCCACTGGTTTGGTAATGAAAAAAACATCCAGGATCTCCTTCCCAAAATAAAGCCAGGAGGGTGCCCTAAGCCCCAGCTTGAGGGGAGAAATGCAGTCAGGAGAGTGGTCAGGAGAGTGAGTGGAACTTCTCGCGCTGCCCACCAGTGTTGGAATCACTGCACGCAGTTGCTCCCTACCTATAGACGTGCCAATGCCATTCTGTCCAACGTAGTTGTACAGGAACAGCTGGAAGACAAAGCACAAACCCATCCTCAGTATCCCACTTTCCTTGGAAATTTCACAGCATCATTACCCTAGGTGCAGGATGGGAGCCCCTTGGGGAGCCAAATCATCACTGCATTGAGCTTGAAGCCCCTTTCAAGTGGGCTGGGAAGTGGTGAGCATTGGCTGGATGCAGGTGAAGGGGCACAGGCTTGGCCTTGTGTCCCAACAGACTGAATGCCAGACAGACAGGTTGTAGCAATTTATGGCACAGCATTGCTCGCCAGGCACCGATTTGCCCCAGCAGTGCTATTGTGGCTGTTGGATGTGGCCATGGTGCACGTGGTTCCAGAAGGGCTTCACAAGGGCTGTGGGAAGAAGGCTCACAGCTGCAAGTCAGCATGGATTGGGTTACAGCTAATGAGCTGTGTTTCATGGTGGCAAAGCCAGGTGAGCTACACGCAGGTGCTTGGGCTCTCAGCTTTCAGGGTGCAAAGCAAAGGGATGAAAGCTGGACTGGCTCAGTGAGACCCCAAGGCTTCACCACAGTATCGCCCAGGCTTTAAGACAGAGTGGGATGGAGAACAAAGATCCCTTTGGGGTCTTTTTTATTTTTTTACCATGGGAGCAGCCACCACCAGCATCACGCAGCACGTGGTGGCCCGGCCACCAGTGTAGTCAGAGATGAGGCCAGCAAAGATCCCACCTGCAATAAAGGAATCACATCAGTCCCAAGGGCAAAGCAGTGCCACACTGGGTTAGCCCCAAATTAAGTGGTTCACTGCACTGGGATGCTCTTTTGTCCCATCTTCTGAGCGAGATGCCCCCGAAGTTAAATATCTTAAAGACTGAACATCCACGTTCAGTATGTTCGCATCAGAGAAGGGCTGTCATTTATCCATGAGCTGGCTGCCTGCGCATGGTTTCTCTGCACCCACGGACAACTCTCCACTCCAAAAGATATTTTCTCTAAGGGAATGGTGATCCTGGGTGAGAGAGACCCAGGATTGTCCCCAAGGATTGATCCAGGCCTGCACCACAAACCTAAAATACCGCCAACATCAAAGAGGGTGGACAGGTCTCCAGCTTCCTTGGCACCAAAATGAGCTGCAGGAAGAGGAGCGGGGTGAGAAGCCAGGTGAGGAGGGGCTGAATCTACCCTGCTCTGCTCTGTCATCTCCAAAAGCTCACCAACATTCACGATGTAAAGTGGCAGCCAGTAGAGGAAGGTGTAGCTCACCAGCTTGGCAAAGAGCAGGCAAAGGGAGAACTCCACTACACCCTGTGAGGAGAGAAGACGGCATCAGGAGCACATTTTTCCACTAATTTTATTGCCAGGGCCGTATGGAGGAAGGGACTCACGGGGATCCAGAGCGCCCCGAGGAAGCTGATGGCTTCAAGCTCCTCAGCCAGCTTTTTGGAGTCGGTGCTGCTGCAGTCCTCAGAGGTCACCCCTTCAGGATCCTTCTCATCTGATGCATCCTAAAAGCAAGTAGATGTGGGGCTGAACCTTAAGGTTTGCTGAAATGATAAAGTTTGCTGCTGGGATGTGAGGACTTGGGTGGAGAACTGGCCCATAGGATGCCTGCACCAATGCAGTAAGCATCCCAACAGCCAGGCACCATTCAGATTTCTGACAGCACCGAGGCATTTACAAGCTAGTTGATCCCTGGCAATGTGTGGCTGCAGGCTCCCCACCCACCCACCCCAGGCACAGCGATGGAACTCACGTGTTGCTGGGGGGGGCTGCAGCCAACGTCCTCAGGATCTGTGGGAGGAAAAGGCACCCCTGAGAGCACTGCCTTGCAGGAGCCACGTCCCTGGCAGTGAAACATCCCCACAAAAACCCACAAGACCTCCCAAAATGTTTCTGAGCAAAACTAACTACAAGAAGACAATGCATCAGGGAGGCCAGGGTGTGATCCCAAAGGATGCTGAGCATTCCTGTGGTGCTCGGTCTGCTCCCGGCACCGAGGACACATGCTTGCCTCCAAAATGAAATTGTTTTTGGGGGTCATCAAAACCACTTGGAAATGAGCAAAGAGAAAATCTATGCTGGGTATTCGCATCACCACTCACGCTCCACAAGAAAGAAGAAGCAGACAATGCCTATGACAGCGATGATTACGCCGGGCACGATGAAGGACAAGCCCCAGTCAGAGGACACCCAGACGCCCGCGATGAGAGAGCCCAGGATATTGCCCACGGAGGTGTGTGAGTTCCAGATGCCCATGATCAGACCCCTCCTGTGAGGCAAGACAGTGGGATGAGCATCGGCTGTGAGCAGGAGGCACAGGGACAGGGACGCGCACTCACTTCCCCTTCCCAAACCAGTTCCCGACACATGCCACGACTGCGGGCCAGCCGGTCGTCTGTGCCAGCCCATTGCACACCTGGCAGGGAGAGAGCAAACCCCCAAACGTGGGTATTTTTCCCAGCAGGAGGAAGCAGAGCGACATCCCAGAGCGTGATCTGGGAGCACCTGCCAAACTGGGCGGGCGGTATCGGCGCCCACACTGAGCGGGGAGGAAACGCCAAAACTGAGATGAGGTCAGGCCACACCTGCACAACGATGAAGTACCACAGGACGTGGATGTTCCAGAAGTAGCCAAAGCCAAAGAGTGCTGTGAAGATCCCACTCAGCACCATGCCCACTGACAGGTAGTACCGCAGCGGCAGCCGCTCCCCGAAAATGCCACTGTGGAGAGAGCATGGGAAACTGAGCAGTGGTGCCAAACGGGGAGCGTGGGGCTGAGCTGGGGAACATGAGCACAGCCCCTGTACCTGATGAACATCCCGATGGCATACGCCACAAGGAAGGCATTGTCCAAAGCACCAAAAAGCTCGTTGTAGTTGTCCTGATCTGGAGAAGAGAAAGCATTAGGGCTGCGGCTGCATCCCCATCCCCATCCCCACCTCGCAGACCCTCCCAAGTCAGGCTGTAGGGCTGGGAGCTGGGAGCCAGACCACCCTGTCCTGATTTCAGCTTTCGCTGTCCTTTGGTCTGGGGCATAGGGCACAATCCGGCACCACTTAATCACCTCCAGCCTAATGAGTGCTTGTCCCCTCCCTGCCCAGCTTAACCCATTAATGACTGAAACTGCCTTCAGGCACAGAGCTGAGATTTGGGTGCGTTTGGGGTGCTGGGTACCAGCCTTACCGAAGGGCGCCCAGCTGCACCACGTGGTGCTGTTGGAGTCGTTGTGGGGGTTGGTGCCCAGTTCCGAACAGTTGAGGTGCAGCTGGCTCTGGGAGGGTGCACAGAGCAAATGGGATGAGTGCAGTCCGGGGAGGTCCTCAGCGATCCTCCCAGGATACGGGAGATGGGATGTGGGTACGGGGTGCTGTGTCGCTCACCTTGACGATGCTGATGGGTTTTCGGGAGAGGTGGTAGCTGGTGTAGGAGAGGAAGGTCAGCACTAGCGTCAGTCCACGGTAGCTGCAGGACAGGGGAGTCAGGGATAGGGGAAAAAAACCAGTTACCACCTCAAAAAATTCCATTCTTCAGTATGAGATCAGGAGGATGAGAGACAGCAGGACATAGGATGGATCCTTGCAGGGAGTGGTTGCAATATTTGGGTGTAGGCATACTACTCTTAGCCTGTGATGGAGAGCTGAGCTCCTTCCTTTGAAAAGCATGGAAAAGGGGAAAAGTGTGGCCATTTTCTCTCAGTTCTCCCCCTGAATACCCTCGGTTCCTATGAGGATGGTGGTGGTGGAGGACTTTCTACTAGGTGGATCAGCTCCAGATAGGCATTTCCCCAGGCAGTGCAGTGCCCTGAGGTTGGGGTTGTAATTGGGATAAAAGATAAGAGTGGGATTATTGCTAACGGAGTGATTGGCTGGGCTGGGGCTTCTCTGGCCTTGCAGCCCCACATCACGTGGGGCCACGGGTGGAAGCGTGGTGGAGTCACAGCACCGCCAGCGCTCAGCAAAACCGAGCTGGGAAATGGAAAGGGAGGAGGGCTGCACGCTTTGTTCCCTCCTGTTTGCTCCAATTAAATGTGGGAAACTGGGAAAAATGGGGAGAGGTGTCTCCAAAGGATGCTGCTCTGAGCAGAGCTGAAGAAGAGCACCTGGAAGATCCCAACCCAAAGAGTGGGACTCTGCATCCTGATAAAAAAATAACGAAACCAAACGCAACAAAAACAATGGAAAGCCATTTTATAAGACCTTAAGTCAGCACATTTTCACTTCTTCCCACAGCATGGTGTCAGAACACCTAGGGGCCCCACACAGAAAAGACACAGTTCTGTTTTGGGGGTGGGGGTGGCTGGGACCCTAACGTGGTGTAGAAATCACTGTTTCCCACTCCGAATAACTAATTTTATAATGAAATCACTGCTGAGCACTGCAGGGCATTGTGAGTTAGAAAGAGGAACAGAAACGTCCCGTGTGCGTCCCGAGCCCAAGGGACAAACTGGGGGGTGGAAAAGACGGCAGCAGAGCAGGGCAAGCAGAGCGGAAGCAGGCGGCAACCGGGCTGTTCAGCCGCGGCTGCAGAGCGCTCTGCTCCATTAACCCGGCGCAGACTCGGCACCTCATCCCGCAGGACAGGACGGACGGGATGCCTGCAGAAGCGCCCAACCCAGGCTCTGCGTGTCCCGAGGGGGAACCCGGTATCCCTAACTGCTCCCAGGACGCGCTCAGGGGCTCCCCCAGCACCACGCATCCTCTGCCTGGAGCAGCCCTGCGAGGCTGAGCCTCGGGGCACCCGGCAGCATTTTCCCAGCGCCCAAGAGCCGCACCGGCCCCTCTGCCCACCACTGCCCGAGGCCGGGGAGGCACGCAGCCCATACGGACGACACGGCAGGAGCGAGGTGCGAGGGCGGCAGCTCCACCCCGCCACGTGCCGCATCCCCGTGCAGCGGAGCGCAGCGCTCCCCACGTCCCCCCGCTGCCCATCCCGCGTCCCCGCCGGGTCCTCCCTCACCGGCTGTCCCGGGGCACGGCGCGCAGCAGGCGGATGCCGGGAGCGAGCGCTGCCCTCATGGCGAGCGGCGGGCCGCGCCCCGCTCCCGCTCCCGGCCCTTTAGTGCCCCGGGGCCGCCGCTCCCCGCCCGGCGCCGCCCAGGGACCGCCCCGAGCCCCGCACTGCCCGCCCCAGCGGGGGGGATGGGGAGAAAAAAACCTAAACAGGTGATGGAAGAAGTGAGAAACGAAAAAAAGAAGGAAAAGAAAAAGCGGGAAGAAAGAGAAGAAAGGAGGGGTGGAAAAAAAAAGTAAAAGAAAAAACAAAACGAAACAGAAGCGCGGGGAAAAAAGGGGGAAAGAAAAAAAAAAGTACGCACAACTCAAATGTAAATAAGGAAAATGGAAAGAAAACAAAATAAAGGGAAAACAAACAAAAATAACGAAAAAAGAGGAAATGATGAAGTAAATAAAAAAAGCAAAAGGGAATCACAGGAAAAGGAAAAAAAGTGGAAAATAAAACAACATAGAAAAAAAGAAAAAATTGGAAAAAAAAACCCAGGAAAATAGAGGAACAAAAAGACAAAAAAGAAAGATGAGAACACAAAAGATAAGGAAGTAGAGAAAAAATGGGGAAAAAAAGACAAAATAACGAAATCAGAAAAAATATAGAAGGGAAAAAAAGCGGAAAGAAAAACAAAAACAGGAGGATGAAGAAAAAGGGACAAAGAGAAACTGAGGAGGAACAAATCGGGGCGCAGCTCACGGCTGCCCAGGAGCGCCGGCATCCCCACGGCCGCGGCTCTCAGGTCCCCCTGCGCCCCGTCCCCCGGCAGCGCACGGAAGGGCTGCGGGATCGGCTGCCCCGCGCCAACCTGCTGCGCAGCCTCGGGCGAACCGAAGTCGATTGACGCGGATTTTGACACTGCCACTACACAGAACTGTCAGTGATGGGGCGTGAGCAGGGCTCAGCATCACCCAAGGGAACAGATGGTGACGGCAGTTTGACCGTGGCTCTGTTTGACCGCCAGCCCTTTAAGCTCAGCGTCGATGCAGCCTACAGCCCACGGGATGGATGGGAATCGGGTCCTCTGCCTCCCTGGAGCCCCAGGGCACAAGCAAGGCGATGCGGACACCCCAGCCCTGATCCTCGTGGGTTGGCCGAGGTGAGCGACCCTCGAGGGCCATCTTCAGTGTCTTCCCATGACGCAAATCCCAGTTAATGAGTAGTGCTGGCACCACGGTGCTGAGCCACCTCCGGCCACGGTTCGGGGTCAGCGGCAGCAGCAGCGGGGCTGCATGCTTGGGCGCCTGCCCTTCCTGCCTGGGTTAATGGCAGAGAGGAGGCAGGAGGAGGCTTGGTCATCACGGCATCCCAGCAGGATGCAAGAAAATGAAGCTTTGATGGGGAGCTGGTGGCATGGAGTTTCAGTTCAGAGATACTCGGGGCCCCAGCAAAGCAAGAGGAGCAGCCCTGTGGGTGCCACACAGCAGCCTACAGTGTTGCCTTCTGCTCAGAACAAGTTTGTCCCAGCATCCCAAGAGCTGTGCCAAGAGATGAAACAGACATTTCCCACAGCAAAGCCCCTTCTTCACAGAGGAAACCGCTGGCCCTAGGAGCGTGGGTTGGGTGTTGCCCTGTAATTAGAGAGGTGCTCATTTGGAAGAAAGCAGCAAGCAATAGGCCTTGCTCTGAGAGTCAGGGGCCAGGGTGCACGATATGGAACTGAACAGAAAAGAGAGGGACGGGGTCTGGGCTCAGAGGGCTTCTCCATCCAAAGCAGCTGCAGCATGCACCCCATTCCCAGGCTGGGTGCCCAGGCTCCCACCTCCACGAAGCGAGCAGGGCGGGTGAAGGGCAGGCAGCAGACACACCTCCAGCAGCTGGGCACACACCCGCAGCAAAAGCCTCTGCAAGCAATCGCTGGCGCAGGGCTTCAGCGATGCATGAGACAACATGACATTCAACCCCAGGCACCTTCTTTCTGCTCATTTCTCACCGCAAATGAGACCAAAGAGCATCATCTGCTGCAGTTTATTCTGCAGTTGAACATGAAATCCAAGTGCTCGACTCTAACCAAGGGCACAGAGCAATCTGCTCCTCCACACCTGCCCTTGTCCTGTGCGATAGCCAACTGCACTTAGTCCAAGATGTGCAAACCTGAGCACAAACTGCATCGAAACGCATCAGCACGGTGCAGCTCCGGCCCTGAGACACTGCAGCAAGGCCACCGCTGCCCTCCTCACAGCTTTGCAGGGCAGGTGCAGAGAGCAGCGAGGTGGCGGAGGGGCAGCTTCTGCCTTCCATCCACCAGGTCACAGGAGGAGATGACAGACTGCAGTGCTTGGCTGTAGGCTGGGAGGGAAAGGGAGCAGCAGTGTTACAAGATGAGCTTTTCACTAATTAAAAGCTTCAGGCTTCTCATGCAAGAAAAACACTGTTTTTTTGTTTGCTATTGAAAAAAAAAAAAAAAAACCATCAAGATGCCTGTAGTTTTCCACACTCTTTTTACAACCTACAGGCTATACAGCCACCTGTAGGATCCTCCTTACACAGCACTATTGTCAGCCAGAGGTTTCTATAAGGCTTCCATTTCTACAGCTTGGAAAGCCACCTAGCGGATGACTCCCAATTACTCAGCCAGGTGTTTGGCCGAGATCAGAGCACTCTCACATAAAGAAGATTTCCATCGCTTTCTTACAGGCAATCTCCCAAGAGCAGATTTGGCATTTAAGCAGAGCACTACAAAAGCCACTGGGTTCCCATGCTTTTAACCAGTTTGTTTGTTCTCCCCGTCAACATTACAGCAGTTACTTAACGCTCTGCCACAGCGGTTGGCATTTTGCTGATGATGCCATGGAGCTCACTGAAGAGACAGAGGAAGAAGGGACTGGTAAGGAGCAGCCAGGCACCCGGCTCCTCCCCACGCACCGTGCCTGAGCTGCCCCAGTCTTGCATCAGGCAAGCCAGCAGCTGGTGCACATCCGTGCAATTAAGGTGTACCTGAAGCACAGAATGACATCTGGCCTGTTTGATTTCTCTCGGTACGGTCAGACCCACACCCTCAGCAAGGTCTGTGCCATCTCCTCTTGAGATGCAGGAGCTCCTACCTTTGTGGTTTTTGTAGAAGATGCAGTTGTTGGCACAGGTATCAGGGTGGGACTCCCAGAAGTCAGAGCTGCAGGAGCACAGGGGAGGCAAGTTGATGTTGTACAGTTTCATCTTCTCCTTCACCTCGGCTCTTAAAGCTTCGACATACCTGCAAGGCACAAAGCAGTCACTTAGGCTCAGCACAAGGAGCAGAGGCCCAGCTGTTGCCAGCTCACCTTGTGTACTCCTTATTTCGCTGCTCTTTTTGCTTGACCTCGTTTAGCCTCCTCTCCTCCAGTTCAAGCTGGGCCAGAACTTTGCAGACACCATCCCCCAGGAAGGGTTTTTGCTGCTTAGCCACCTCCTGCATCCTCTGCTCCTCCACCTGGCGCTGGTTCTCCTTCTTGCTCTTAATCCTGCAGGCACAGAGAGCTTTCACTGACCTCCTCAGATGGGAAAAAGAAGCCCAACATGACCTCCACACCAAGACAGGTGCTGGACCACAAATACCCACAGTGACACACGCTCCTGTTCTTCAAAAGCCAACTGCAGTGCTCTTAAAAAGCCTCCTGAGATGCTCTTCCACCCTTAAGAAACTAAGAATGGTGCCTGAGGTCCTCTATACCTACCCAGAGAGCAGCAGTTCCTGGGAACAGTTGCTCAGCCTTCCCACATTTGATTTCCTCAAGCTGGGCAGTTTGGACCCTGCTTTAAGCTGTCCTTGCAAGAAGTCAATGACAAGGAAAATAAGGCTGCAGAAGCACAACAGAAAAACTCCAAGGATCCCACATCAACTCTGAACGGGCTCCAAGAAGTTAATTTATTTTTCCTTTTTTAACTAAACTCTTCCCCACTGCCTTACTCTCCCTTGCACCTACATGGCACCACAACCCCTTTTATGGAATCTGGATTATATAACTCAAAAATTGCAAAGCACATTCCCTTGAAGGTGGCAATTACAAAGCACAAAGACTTTAAACCAAAGCATGTGCCATTTTATTCCTGCTGATGTGTCCCAAATGTTATCACATATTACACACTGATCTCTGCCCAAAGGCATTCAGAGTATCAAAGCTAGGGAGAAGCCAGGGGAAGGAAGCATAATCGAATGGGACATTTAGATGTTACTCTTTTTGTTGGGTCAAATATGAATGCTCAGAATGAAAGCACTGAAAGCAAACTTCTCTTGTCAAGTTATAAACTCTTTTTTATGAAGTGGTAATAGTGCCTTAACTACACTGCCATAAATCTTCCGCTACAGAAACCAAGGCCAAGGCCAGCTTAGCATTACACGAAGAAATTGCAAAAACTGCTTTTTTTGCTGAGCAGCTTGCAGGCCCAGCAGAGACCCTGCAACTACAAAAAGAAAAGAGGGGAAAAAAAAAAGATCCATGAGTAACTATGAGGTCCCTTGCATTTCACCAGCACTTGCAGGGCAAGAAAGTGCCTCCAAATCTCTGAGCACCAATTTAAGTTTCAGGAACGTGGCTGGAGAAACATTTCTTTGCAATTTCTGTCCAAAAAATGACCACCAAAAAAATACTAGGACCTCACGCTCCAGGATGCTGCACTGCAGCAGGCTGGAGTCACTTAAGGGCTGGAGCATTTCTGCTGCCTGCTGGTCATCCCCTCAGATTGATTGGAACTGGCTGCAGGTGACAGCTGGGCTACACTCCTTTTTTGAAACTGTGTTTAAATTGAATGGAATGGCCAGATCTTGCCCTCACAGCCTGGTCCCACAGAACCAGAGTCAGAGCACAAGGAGATCAGGGAGACGTGTTATTTTATGCCAGAGCAAGTCAAAGACAAAAATGCAGAGCATCTTCCTTCTTATAGTGTGAATTTGCAGAGCTTCTCCTTAAGGACTCCCCTAACGGGAAAGGTGACCTTGTCACCAAAACGCAGGGAGACTTCCAGGTACATACTGAGTTTTTCATTCTGGGAACAAATGCTAAGTAAGTTTTTATTATGCCATACAGATGTTTATAGCTGTTGGGGTGAAGGGTCTGATATAAAAATCCAGAGAAGATTGGCTTAAGAACAATGCCAATCTCACCCCAATGCTT